CATGAACTATTCTTGTCAAAAAAATCTTAAACCTGGATCTAATCAAGCCTTTAAACCTAACTTCCACCTTGCAGAACTATAGGACATAAAGCAATGAGTTAAATTACACCAAGAGAAAACAATCTTACAAATACAGAATGTGGAATATTCTCAAATACAACTTGCCTGGTATTTTCAAAAACATCAGTGTATATGTATAACTGATTCACTTTGCTGTATACCTGAAATTAACACAACATTGTAAATCAACAATACTCCAATAAAAATTTTTTTAAAAATAATTGAAAAAAAAATCAGTGTAATAGAGGGTAAAAGAGGAAAACCCTTCTAGATCACAAGAGAGATAATACTGATTTGGGGGGTCAGGGGAGCAGTTGAGGACATTTCAGTGTAGACGGGCTACATTCAATGATATTAGAGAATTATTTTTCATTTTTCTGTGGTGTGGTAATGGTATTGTGGTTAAGAAGGAGAAAGTCTATTTCCAGGATATGTATGATTGACAGGTGAAGTGTCTCGATGTTTCCAACTTATTTTAAGTGTACACACACATAAAATGTTAACAGTTGTCTTTAGATAGTGTATATGGCTATGCGTTAGTATTATTGTTTTAACTTTTTTCTGCATGTTTGAATTTTTCGTAATAGAGGTGAATGTTTTTAGAACTCATTTGGGAGAAAGTATTTATTGAAGATGGCCTTATGATTTGCAGTGCATTTCTATAGATCTTATGAATATCAGGCCTCTGTATCTACTTAGCACACCTGAAAATAACTTTTTTACTACACTGTGTTTGGCATGCTATAACACTGGCCTACTTTGAGAACTAGGGTAGAAAACAGCTCTGTGAAATACTTTGAATTGTAAGGATTTTTTTTTTTTTTTTTTTTTTGCGGTACGAGGGCCTCTCCCTGTTGTGGCCTCTCCCGTCGCAGAGCACAGGCTCCAGATGCGCAGGCTCAGCGGCCATGGCTCACAGGCCCAGCAGCTCCGCGGCATGTGGGATCTTCCCGGACCGGGGCACGAACCCGCGTCCCCTGCATTGGCAGGCGGACTCTCAACCACTGCGCCACCAGAGAAGCCCTGTAAGGATGTTTTTGAGAGCATTGTTTACTGTATTATATGGTGTCCTTTTTGGGAAAATGAAACTTTGGGTTTCAAATGACAAGAATAGTTGTGCTGCTTCTGAGAAACTGGATTTTTGGCATGTTACAGACATTGAATCAGGTAGGTGAGCAGAGCTCATGTTTTTTTGACTGCTAGAAAACTCACATCTCACTTGTGGCCGATTTCTAGCAAGTGCACTTCCCAGCTGTACTCCTGACTGCTTTGTAATTTTCGCTACCAACTCTCATTATTCCCTCAATCTGACTCCCTCATCTATTTTTGGTTGTATTTATTTTATAAGATACTTTATGCCCAACAATGTTCTAGCCATATTAAAATGATTTAAAATAATACAGTTTATGATTTGAAAGTCACAACCTAAAATACAGATTTTCACATTATTATTATTAGTCATATAATATCTTACTCCTAAATTCAGAGATCCTTTATCCTCTAACCAAATTTAGAATAAAGGAGTGTTACTAGAAAATTTTAAAATATATACTTTTAAATATAGTTAAAATATAAAATTCCTATTTTCTGGAATAACACTGTTGTAGCTATATTGGCAGCAAATGCCTTATTTTGGTGTAAGGCAGGGGAGAGAACAAGACCATTCCATTCCATTCCATGGAAATTAAGCTGCCGTTAGAATTGGCATTTTTCTTGAGAATTTGATTTTTTGATTTTTTTTTCCGTTAATGAAGGGAAGTAAAATATGCCATTGTTTTACCTTTAGCATTTCTGAAAGAATTTTGATGTACAGAAAATCCTAATGAAAGATTATATTAGTTGCTCTTCAAAGTTATTCACATTCTTGCCCCCCAACACAGTAGTGCCTTCCTTCTGTTAAATGATACTTTATATTTTATAAAATATTTTTCAGCATCAGCATATTGATACAGATGTTATATTTACAATTTGCTCTTGCTGCCTTCTTGGGGTTGTAGTCCTCACACAGTTTTCTTTTGGGGATTGCTGTATTATTTTACCACTGATGCATTGTGGGATAACAACGTTTAACAGGGATAACAGCACTTACTATAAAATGTGTTGTATGAATTAATAATGGCTTAGACAGTTTTTAAGATTATGTGTATGTGAAGTAGGAGTATCTTCTGATATATCTTAAGTCTATTCTAATTTTTAAAAGAAGTATTCATTGATAAAGAAGGTTTTCTTTTTTTAGCCAAGATTCTTAAGTCCAGTGGAATCTTCCACTGATGATTTTTTTCCCTTAGAGATCTGGATAGTAGCTTGTTAAACTAAATGATCTTTAAAGGCTTTTGTACTTATAAAACTAAGTTTTGATTTTATATTTGAACATGCTTAAATCTTAACCTTAAATAACCTATTATCTTCTACCATGAGGGACATGCTAAAATTAACTGCCAAAACTGGGTTAGTTGTAAACACAGGTGTAAGGTAAGATTGCCATCTCCTTTGCTCCAGGTGGAGTGATTCCTAGAACTAGGATTTGGCTTTCTTTGCTCAGGTGTCTGGAATTCACTTTTTCTAGTTTGCCAAAAGACGGTAAAGCAAGGTACACAGTTTTCTTTCTGCAATTATTTTTAAGTGAAAGTACTGTTCATTCTCATTCATTCATTTCTTTTCTCATTCATTTCTTAACACATGAAAATCAAGTTTAATTTTGTAGTAGTGCCTGCTGGTCATGTGGATGCTGTACAATGTCTCCATTTATACTGCTTCACACATCACATACAGGACGAGTTCCCACAAAGACCTGTTTTGTTCTACTCTCGATCCACCCTAAAGAAACCAGTTTCCAAACTATGCACAGCTTTGTAAATCAAGACGAAATGGTCGGAAATTGGAACAGAAGCAAGCAAGAAACCAAATAATCCTTCCTAGTTAACAAGTAGCACTCTACTTGTTGTATATAATAAAATTGCAGGTAACGAAATGGTGTGCATTCTAAGAACATTCTAATTAGAAAGTTTATATCACATTCATATTATAATCATAGATCAAGTCATTAGTTTGTTTCTATTATTGTTAGAGTTAGGAAGATATAAGCAATGCTTTCGGTAAGATATTCTAGGCAACAGAGGGCAGTGAGAATCAAACATGAAATGTGAACCTTAGTTCTGGATGTTTCTTAGCAAGCCCTGTATGCAATAACTTAAGTGCCAAGGTTGATAAGAGGAGTTTGGTGTTAGGCACAGATTTCCTTCTTTCTGGCAACAGTCAGTGGACCACAGAAAAGAGGGAATATAGTGGCATGCAGAACTTACCTTCCCAGGGACTCTCCTTCTAGGTCAGGAAGAAAAGAATCCCCACACACAATTCATAAGTAATAGAATATGTTTTTCACCACAGTGTTAAATTCACACATAATGTATTCACAGCTTAATTTATGGTTTTTGAAAATACCCTTGAAATAAATATCTCTTTGAATAAACGTTTTGTCATTATTTTACCTTCTTGTTTAGAACTTTAAAGAATATCAAGTGCTGTTTAGAAGTTTTGTTTTCTTTAAGATGATTTCTAAATATTGTGATTTTAACTCAGTATCAGATAACCTTCCAAAGAATGTGCATCTTTTGGGATGCTTTTTTTTTTTCTCCTTTTGAGAAATTTAAAAAGGAAACAAAGGAAGCGAACTGAAAATGTCCTTTCTTCATTATTCCAACAATAGGCAAAGACCAGGCTTCCACAACCAAAGTAAGTTAGAGAATTCCCAGAGTACTTAGTGAAAATACATAGTCTAGGTCCTGAGTCAAATAAATGTGTTATAAAATATAAAGCTGTTGTGAGAACACATGACACATTTAAAATTTTCCCTTCCTCATTTCCCAACACATTTTGAGACTAATATTATAATAAAAATGTTTATTTTCTTCATAAAGCCCCTTTTCTACCACAGTCACATGCACATATTTATTTTCTGTTTTGAAGAAACCAGGTTAGCAAGGTAACTTTTCTAAGACATCTTTACATGAGAATACAAAAGGTTTAAATTGAATAATTAAATACCTTCTTGCTTCCAGCTGCTTCTCCCTGGCTCTCCTTTCTCAAGTTTCTTAGTCTCTGCTGTCCCCTGCAGACTGACAATTCAGGACTGTCTAATTTCTCAGTGGTAAGATTTGAATTGTCAAAACAGTAGTCTTAAAATATTAATTAGACTTTCCTTTTTATTACTACCTTTTTTTGAGATATAACGTACATACAGTAAAATGCATATATCTTAACTATACAGTTTGAGTTGTAAAATAAACATGCATCAGAATCAATGGGGATGTGCTTAAAATACTCTTTCCAGGAAATTAAGAAGCTCCCTAGATGATTCTGAGCTACAGCCAGTTAAGGATCTTTGCCTTGGTAAAGAACCAAATTGATAATGTACATAAAAATACATAGTATACCATAAAATGTTAACCCAGGTTGAAGTTAGGTTGCTATGTAAAAAAAAACTTAGGCCTTCCCTAGTGGCGCAGTGGTTAAGAATCAGCCTGCCAATGCAGGGGACATGGGTTTGCGCCTTGGTCCGGGAAGATCCCACATGCCATGAAGCAACTAAGCCCGCGCGCCACAACTACTGAGGTTGTGCTCTAGAGCCTGCGAGCTGCAACTACTGAGCCCGTGCACCACAACTGCTGAAGCCCACATGCCTAGAACCCGTGCTCTGCAACAAGAGTAGCCACCGCAGTGAGAAGCCCGCGCACCACAACAAGGAGTAGCCCCCACTCACTGCAACTAGAGAAAGGCCGCGCAGCAGCAAAGATCCAACGCGGCCAAAAGTAAATAAATTTATAAAAATAAATAAATAAAATTAAAATTAAAAAAACCTTAAATTTCTCATGTACCTTTTGGGGTTTGTAATGCTGGCTCACAAGTGAAATTCTCAATTTGTTTTTCTGTTTCTTTTTAAGAAAATTAATGCAAAACTTCATGATGGAGTATGTCAGCGTTGTAAAGAAGTTCTTGAGTGGCGTGTAAAATACAGCAAGTACAAACCCTTATCAAAACCTAAAAAATGGTAAGTTAAGTTTCTTAATTACCTCACCAGTACTATCAGTATCATAGTATATGACTTCATTCCCTGATTTTCAAAATCGTGTCCAGATAAATATTAAGGTGAATAGAGAAAAAATTTCCATTCCCTGTAGAATAGAATTTCATCTTACATGCTGAATCCTAGCTTGTGAAGGCAAATAGATTGAAAGGGTGGATTCACCATTCCCCTCCCCATTCTCCCCTAAATAAATAATGCACCATTTTTATAGCATCTCGTTCATAAAATGAGACTAGGCTTAAGGCAGAGAAGGGAAAGTTTGTTTTGCAAAATTCTATCTCCCACTGATGAGATAATAATATTTACTATTTAATTTACTAAATTAAATAATATTTTTTACCAAAGGGGGTCTTAAAAAGGGTCTGACCTTTTAATTTGACCCATGAAGATTACTGAAATGCCTTAGATTGAGTATCATAAATAAATCACTAGATTGATAATTTATAATTTCATTCCTTTCAAGTTTTGGGTCTACATGAAAAGACACTGGACTTTGTTTCTCACCTCTCTGTCCTTTACCCTTCCTCTGTAATTTTGGCATTCTGTTTTATCAGCTTTATGAACATCCTGGTGCAGCTCCCTTACATCCTTTGGCTCAGCTGAGTAAGGGCCATATTGGAGGGTAATTGCTGCCTAAAAGAGAAAACTGATTATTTTACATATAAAAATTAGCATTAATATGTACAATATTATTTTTACAATTATGAGTTTTAATTTGGTAGTCTATATAGTAGCTATTTAGAATACATTTGTTCATTGTTGCTTTATTTTACTTTTAGCTGTTCAGTAGTAGCAACTTCCTTAAATGTATTCCCTCTCCCTTTTTGGGAGGAAATTTTAATTAAAGTCTGGAAGTTAGTCTAAATAATAAATATGGGGCTTCCCTGGTGGCGCAGTGGTTGAGAGTCCGCCTGCCGATGCAGGGGACGCGAGTTCGTGCCCCTGTCTGGGAAGATCCCACATGCCACCGAGCGGCTGGGCCCGTGAGCCATGGCCGCTGAGCCTGCGCGTCTGGAGCCTGTGCTCCGCAATGGGAGAGGCCACAGCAGTGAGAGGCCCGCGTACCACACACACACAAAAAATAATAAAATAAAAAAAAAAATAATAAATAAATATGATATAACCTTTGCTGTTTATTTCTATTGAAAAATTATGTCAGCTTTTTTGTGGATCTTTAACTCAAGCTATGGGGTAATTTGTTTATTTGAGAATTTTAACAGCTTTGAATGTTTGGGCATTTTAGTTTGCTTAAGATGCTTCTTTTTAATGCTGAAAGGTTAAAAACCTCAAGTAAAGATAGACTAACTTCAGCTTTTTAGAATTTTTATTTCTGTATTGCTTTTTCAGAGCAAATTTTTAGTATTTATTGTAGGTGACCCCCTTTTAAATAGCTATACAAGTTCCTGTCTCCTGTTTTCCAGTCTTTTCTTTGTATTCTCTAGCATTTCCTCCCCAAAGAAAACACTTATAAAGAAAATTTTAAAGTTTTATGCTCATTGGCCCAAATTAGCAGTAGGGAAATTTGGCAACTGTTTGTACTGTTCAGTGCTGGATTTCCATGAATGGATTAACTCTGTTTCCTACCACAGAAATTAGATGCTGATTCACTATAAACTGTGTAGTTTTAGTTAATAGGCCTAATACAAGATTTGTTTTTTGAATATTTTCAACAGGTCTTTCTTTTTATAAAGGTATTTTGAGATTTCATCACCAATCTCCGTTTTTCTCTTGGTAGTGCTAGTTCCTAAAAGAATTTTTATAGGTAGTATTTGTGTAGCTGTAGAGTTTTAGTAGATTCATGATATAACAAAGGAAATAATTTTAAAACATTTGTACCTTATCCATTATCTGCATTTTAATCTCTTATCTTTAATTTGTGCTGCATCCTTTATGTTTATCTTCATTGAATGTGGCAGTATATAAAATATTATGTCAATTATTATACATTTTCCAGATGCTGTGATTGGCTATAGAATTTCTTTTTTTTTTTCTTTAAGTTTTTATTGAATTTGTTACAATATTGCTTCTGCTTTATGTTTTGGTTTTTTGGCCCCAAAGCATGTGGGATCTTAGCTCCCCAACCAGGGATCAAACCCATACCCCCCACATTGGAAGGCAAAGTCTTAACCACTGGACCGCCAGGGAAGTCCCATGCCATAGAATTTCTGAACTTAGTTATTTTAGACAGCTCTTGAATTTTTATTCTTTTTGTGTATTACTTATGGCCTTAATATTTTTATGGCTCCAGAAGAACTTGTATACTATGATTCCTAGAAGAACAGATATTTTAATCAGATAGAAAGACTCCGTTAAAAACAAAAGGAAGGGCCTCCCTGGTGGCGCAGTGGTTGAGAGTCCGCCTGCCGATGCAGGGGATACGGGTTCGTGCCCTGGTCCGGGAGGATCCCACATGCCGCGGAGCGGCTGGGCCCGTGAGCCATGGGCGCTGAGCTTGCGCATCCGGCAACGGGAAAGGCCACGACAGTGGGAGGCCCACATATCGCAAAAAAAAAAAAAAAAAAAAATAGTATTCTTAAGTTCTATATGTGATGTGCCAGGCACTGTGGGGCTACTGTTAAAAACTAGACATTAAAAAAAAAAAAAAAAAAAGGAAACAGTAACAAATCTTATGTTTAGTTCCAGAAAACTTATAACACAACAACCTAAAAATGGTTGAATGTGGACACATGGACCCAAAGGTCAGCAACTCTGTCCTGTCTTGGAGTCATTGAAGTCCTTGGAGTCAGGGAAGCTCATGGTGATGTTGCCAATAGCCTGTAGCATGTGACTCAGAGGTCTTCGAAATGAGAGCTAGAAGAGGACCTCAGGAGCTGCTGTTCTATATCACCCTGAAGCAGATGAGGTTAATCATAGAATAGCTCCCACTGAATGCAAAATGAAGGAAATATATTATACAAATACCGCAGTACAGGTAACAAGACGTTAAAGCCTAAAGGAAGATCTCTAGTAATAAAGAAGCCCAAGGTAATACAAAAATGGTAGCTTATGAGAGACTAAGAAACTACTAGTTAAAAAAAGTCTGAACACGTTATTTAGGAGGTCAACTTGCCTGGCCTAGAATATCATGAATTTCAGGCTACATTAGAATTTTAGGTTACATTAGGCATTTTAGAAAGCCTAGCTTTCAAACTCCAAACCAAGATTGAGTGTTATAGAAAGCATAAATCACCTATGTACACTTTGCTGTCTCTGCATATCAAAACTTGACCAATACTATAAGGTTTTTAAATCCATTGATGAACAATGCTTAAAGTAGCGTAACTTGTTTTGAAATTTTAAATGTTTTGTTCAAGCTTATCACTTATAAATTAAATTTGTCCTTTGTTAGGATTTGTATAAGAAGTTTACTTTGACACTAGATGTGTCTTTTGTGTAAAGATTCATTTTCCAGCACCCTGAATATTACTTTTGGTTAAAATGCTGAGCATTGTTTCATTTGTCTAACTGTCTCATGCCACAAATTATGTAACCAAATGATGTACATAAAGAAAAGTTCAGCAGAACATAAAATGGAGGAGGAGGTACTGTTTATAAGTGACATTTCTTTTGGAATGAAATAATATTCTGAATATTGGGAAAATTAATGCCTTTTCTCCCATTTGTTTGGCGTGTGAATCACCAGAAACCACGCACATCTAGCAAATTTCCATTGTCCATGGGATCTGATACCAAACAGATCCAAGAAACAGAGTTTGACATCTAAACTCTTCAAACTTTTTCATTCAACCATGGGAAGCAAAAATTGTACGGTGTTTGTAAGTGGCAGAAAATATTTTCATGTTTCTCTTTTTCCTTCAGTAAGGTGATGTGCTACAGGATTTTTATAAGCATGTTCTTTATGACAATTTCTCCCAATAACTGAAGACAACCGTGGACCATTCCCAGAGACTTTTAAGAAAAGAATAGATGTCCTAACTTCAGCTGGAAGAGGGAAGAGTTGAAAACTGTTTTTGCTAGAGAGGGATGGGATGATGACTGTGAGGGGAAGGGGATAAAATGCATGTCACGTATTAGTGATATGTGAACAATGAGATACTGATATGATACTACCCTTTGATATGATCAGATAATTTAAATGTCATTGAGTATACAAAGCTGTAGGTCTTTATAGAAATAAAATGAAAGGCTCATAAACATAAAGCTTAGTTTTTTACAGCTTCTCATCTCTGTAAAAGTGCTAAGATGAGCTGCCATCCTTATTTTCCACTGTCACTTAATCAGGGGTCAGCATAGTTGTACCAGGATTTCCCCATCATTTTGGCTCGTGTTTTTTTATTTGAAGGTGAGAAATCGCTACTCCCTGGTGGAGGGCTGTTGTGGTGCTATGACAGACATCTCCCTTGACCCCTGAATGGTATAATCATTATTAAGGTTACTGCTAGATGTAGAATTGTGGTTCAGGACGAGTCTAAATCTTTTTGTATAAAACCTCATTTTTCAAGGGGAATTACCTGGTGGTCCAGTGGTTAGGACTCCGCACTTTTCAGCGCTTTCACTGTGAAGGGTGGGGTTTGGTCCCTGGTTGGGGAAATAAGATCCCTGCAAGTCACGCAGCGAGGCCAAAAAACCCCCCAAAACCCCTCATTTTTCAAGTGCCTTGTGTTTTTTTTTTTTAACATCTTTATTGGAGTATAACTGCTTTACAGTGGTGTGTTAGTTTCTGTCAAGTGTCTTGTTTTTGACTTTTGGGGGGGGAAAAAAAAACAAAGATAAATTAAAACCATTCATTACCATTCCTGGTCAGTCACAAGCCATTCATGAACACTGTAAATAATTTTAGGTGTGGAGCTGAAAATTACTGAAAAGCAAGAAATCTTAAAAATATAAAGTGATTTGTATAACTCTTAAAAGAAGAAAGGAATCTTGATATTTTTCACTTAAAACTCATTTATAGACATTTATATTATTTTCTGGGTACTAGAAATACAGATGGTTAAAAGACT